GACCGAACCAAGCTGGATTCTAGGTGTCAAGCCAGGACCTTATATCCGCGAGCTGAGCCGCAGCACGTTCATGTTTTTGGGATCCAAGATTGCGCTGCTCGCGGTTGATTGCCGGACTGAGCGTACAAGAGACGATGTCTTGCGGGAAAATACGTGGAAGAAGCTTATGGACCGTTGTTACGATGAGATTGTCAGGGGCAAGACGCAGCATCTGCTCGTTCTCCTGGGGGTTCCAATTGCCTATCCTCGGTTAGTGTGGCTTGAGAACATGTAAGTTTCAATCCTGCGCAAATCTAATACGAGATCTAATACGAGGGTGCTGACATTCTTAGCTTGACTTCGCGATTGATGGATCCCATCAAAGCCCTTGGAAAAGCGGGCATGCTGGGCAATTTCCTCAACCGCTTCGACGGAGGCGTTGAAGTTCTCGATGATCTCGATGACCACTGGACGGCAAAGAACCACAAGGATGAGCGAAGAGTCGTCATCGAAGACCTCCAGGATCTCGCTGCGGACAAGTCTGTTCGCGTGACGATTCTAAGTGGCGATGTGCATCTAGCCGCCATCGGCCAGTTCTACTCGAATCCTAAACAGGAGCTTGCTAAGCACAACGACTTCCGCTATATGCCTAACATCGTATCATCTGCCATTGCCAATACGCCGCCTCCTGACATCATGGCCGACATACTCAATAAGCGGAACAAGGTTCATCATTTCGACAAGGAGACCGACGAGGACATGATTCCTATCTTTACTAATGGAGTAGACGGCAAACCCCGTAACAACAAGCGTCTCCTCCCCCACCGCAACTGGTGCTCCATCCGCGAGTACGTGCCCGGGCAGACGCCACCACCCACACCGCCGCCAGAGGACTACGAAATGACCCCTGAGGGCACTCCACCAGGCAGCCGGGGCGGTCTCTTCCGCCGATTCTCATCGAAAAGGAAAGGCTCTGTCCTCCGCAAGGACGGACCCCGCGACCCCACGGACCGTTCGCGCCCGCCCGTCTCCGGCAGCGGCTTCCTGCGCTCGCTCTCCCGCCGCGCTTCTAACAGCGGCGCATCGCGTCCAGGCGGACTCCTACGCACCCTCTCTCTCGGCCGCGTCGACAACTCCCGCCCGCGTGGCAACAGCAACGGCAACGGAAGCGGCAGCGGCAGCATCTTCGGTCGCCGGAGGAACAGCTTCGATAGGCCCGATGACGGCGGCATCAACGGTGGCTGGGGCCCCGGCAGCGAGGACGACGACGAGGAGGCCATGTACGAAGCGTCGCGGGCCCGGCGCGCTCGCGCTGCGACTATGACTGCCGCACCGACCCGGCCGGCCGCGTATGCCCCTGCTCCGCTGGACTACTACGGGGGCGGGGGCGCCAACGCGAACGTGGGCCGGATGCGCGGCGGAGGCGTGGAGCGCAACGACGAGTACGAAGTCGGCGACGACTCGTATTTCACGGCCAAGTCGCCGCGCCGCGCGTTCACGCAGCCGACCAGGGGCGAGCACGGGGGCACCGGCGGGTTCAGCAGCAGCAACTACACGACGTACGACGACAACCCCAGCTCGGAGTGGGAGACGCCGCCGCCGCGGCCGTTCCGCCGCACGCCGACGGCGCTCACCGCCAAGCAACTGCAGGCGGCAGGGGGCGCGGCGAAATTCGAGGTCGACCTGCAAGGCGGACTGGACGTGTGTCTCAACGTGGAGGTCAACGCGCGCGACCCGGCGGGCATCACGGTGCCGTATCGGTTGCTGGTCCCGAGGCTGTGGTACGAGTACGAGGGCGAGGACGCGGGCGTGGGCGCGGATACGGAGAGCCAGACGGAACTCGATCTTGATCAAGATCAAGATCAGGGGTATGAGCATGAGCATGGGCAGGGGCAGGGGCAGCCGCGCACTATGTACGATGATGTGATTGGCGACGAGGAAGAGGGGGAAGAGAGGCCGCAGAAGGGCGTGTTGAAGCGCTTGTTTAGCGGGCGGGGAAGTCAGTATAGGGCAAGGAGGGGGTCGTCTTAGGGAAGCTGTAATTTGCTTCTAGGAATTCTTGTTCTGAGGGCTGGGCTATTCTCATGTTTCCCTTTTTTTTTTTTTTTTTTTTTTTTTTCGCATCATAATACCTGGTCGGAGGGATGAGGAAAAGTTTCTATTCACTCATGCCTTGTCGGCGCCGGATACTTTCCACGCAGGAAAGGTTTGCATTTGCCTACCTACCTCTATTTTATTTTTATATTCGTTCCGCCGCTTGGATACCTAGGTGCGCACGCAAACATATGGGATCGGTTAGGTTAGGTATGGAAGGGAGAAGGAGGGAATCTGGTTCTTTGTTAATGTTAGCTTCTCTGGACTGGAGCTCGACTTGGGAATGCCCGAGGGACGGGTTTATGAGTTATGACGTTTGGAGAGATGGCAGCGCCACGGAGTGCGCGTATTTGAGCTGGGGGGCTTGCAAATTGAAGCTGATGATGGCTGCTGGCTAACTAGGTTGCTTAACGTATGTACACTAGGTACTAGCTGTACTTGGGTGCGTTGGCTGAAATGAAAATCAAATTTACCGTCTAGTCGTGAGTTATCGAAGGGCCTTTATTTATGCCTAGCATTTACGCATTATGTCGGTGTGTCGTGTTGTTTCTGTCCTTTCTTTTCGGAGTATATCATCATTCAGACCCCTTGTCAACCAATTCAGATGAGGATAAAAGCTTGTATCTTGGAAGTATAACTCAGCCTTGCTTCAACTACTATCATAATATCTCTCTCTTCGTCTCGAGTATAACAATAGGTCTACGATAACTAAATAGAAGACTGGCGATGGGAGAAGAGTGGGATCTAATGACTTCGGTTTCTTATTATCGTTTGGGCCCTTCTGCCGTTGTCCCTGAATAACCTCATCGCCAATTGACCAGCATCGCCGAGAAAATGGTCTATCTGATGTCCTCCTACTTGTTACGAGATATTTATGCTTGATTTGGTTCTGCCTCATATTTCTTTTTTGTCTATATTGCTACCATCCTAAAACAGCATTACCCTTTAAACACCTAAACCGATTAGTTCGACAGGAAAGTCTTCCCCAAACGCACAGTCGGCTTGGCTATAAGTGGTCGGACGTCCTTCCCTGGTTGACCATACCTAATGTATACTGTACATATCAAGCCGCACTGTTTCTGAGGGGCCAATTTGTAGCAAGATTAGACTCAACCAACCTTTTTCATCTTCATGTGAATCGTTCGGGGTTAAGACCCAAAGTCCAGTCTTACTACTCCTACCGCTAAGGATATATAAGTCGCACTTAGAAACCTACTCCTTCACATACGACCATAGGATCTGGAGAACTCGGGATCCCGTCCGCTCTCCCCTTCTGATAAACCAGATACCGCCGGACCAGTAGTTGGGTCGGTGACGACCAGCGAATCCCCGGTGTTGTATGTTTCTTTTTTATGTTCTTCCACGATTCTTTTTTGTTGATATATTATATATTCTGCTGATATCCCACCTCGGGCATGGATCTGGCAAAAAGGTGAGGTAATGATGGAAAGCAACATCAAAAATACAATCCCTCGGACCGGAATCGAACCGGTGACTTTTCGGTATACAATCTTCACAATTACAGCCGAACGCCATAACCAACTAGACTACCAAGGGTGGCATTAAAAGCCTTGCCCTTTAGTATAGCTTATGTGTTGTGTTTCTAGCTCTAGGTAAGGTTCTGAGGTTGAATTGTATTATCTCGAGGACGTGGGTCGAGATAGGGTATTCAAGTTGATGCCAAGGTGTGATAGTGGATCAGAATACCAAGCCATTGGGATGCGTAGGACAACTTGACGAGGTACAGTGATAAACAATATCGGTGAAGAGTAGAGGATGAGTACGTGTATACCCTGAGGGTGCACGCCGAGTAATACTTTGATGGTACCGTGTTATCTATTATACGTGGTCAGTGTAAAAAGTCAAAGCACATTGACCCGGCATACGCTTCTTCAATCTCAATATAAACTAGGTGGTTGAACACGTTAACCCTTGCGTATTCATCTCATTGGAGAGGGGCGTTTCATGGGTAATACCATCTTCGATCCCACTTGAGTAGAATTCTCGAAAAAGCGGTCGAAGCTACAATATGCGGAATGTAACATGAGCTGGTCGAACATTCGACACGTTTGATTCCAAAACTTAGCAGAGCTTCTAGTATAGTAGGAGCATCCTATTTTGGCGACGCGCATGTCCCGCGTGTGCTAGTCAGCCTTATTATAACTACTTGTAGCATCAAATCTCATCAAAGCTACCTTCGCATACCTGCATCCGGATCCATAAGGTCGCTTATTCTGATAGCATCCAGGACCACATTCGCTGCGGGGGCCCGATCGATAACCATTATTTGGTACTGCCGGTCCGTCCATAAAGCTCTCAGTACGTGTGAGTGCTACATTAAGAAAGTCGGGATCTTCGTTACACTGCGGACCGGAGCATAGCTCATAGGACCGGGGGCGAAATCCGGGAACGAGAGGCGGAAGCACATGCTTGATCTTCAATTTCCACTCACATTTTCCGTTGAATAACTGGTGTGTTTCACGAGCAAAGACGCCAGTGTGGAAACCCTAATATAACGACGAACCAGTTTGGAGGACCTCCCTAACCCAAGTGATTAGGCGCCAGCATGCCGTTTCGTCTGATTCACCTCGCATGCATGTAGGAAATACGTGTAGGGCCCAGAGAGCGGAGAGAAGGGCAAGAGGTTGCTAATCCAGACTTATCCGATTAAGGATCGTTTAAAGATGACTTGACTCGTGAAGTGGCCCCCATGTAGCCCTTGAGATTGGAGACCCACGTCAGGCGGGAAACAGCTAGGTAGCAGCAGCTACAAAAGCATGGCTGAAGGCTGCATAGCACTAGTATGGCAGCAATGTGGCGATTTAAGCAGCCCGGTAGGTCTACTCCGAGTATGCATCATCGAAACCAAAGATAATGATATGTGATTTGGGCTCGGCATGCTGCGATATGTATCACGCATACAAAACCTAGTCTAGCCGGAAGTAGTGGAAGTAGTGGAAGTGGTGGAAGTAGTGGAAGTAGTGGAGGGTCTCGGCATATGAGAGATCAGCCCTCGTCTCAACATGCCCGTCCACTCCGTTCCTGGGAACTGAATGGGTATGACTGCACCCTCATACACTTAGCAAGAGCCCGGTAAATCAGAAATGCCTATACCACTAGGGTTTGAGGACAATATTCTCCACATGTTTTTTTTAAGTCATGCCGCTGTTGCGTCTACGACGTTCAAGGACCGTGGGATCTAAAAACGGTTGAGCTGTAGCCGCGGACGAGATCTCAACAGGACCGTCTGAAAAGATTGTCAAAACGAAGCTCGTATTGAGCTTAATTGACCATAGACACGTACGGTTCACTTGTCTCTCAGATGGCTTTCTCACCACAACTTCGTTGATCGACGCCGGGGGAACTGTATACGATTTGGTTAAGGGCGGCTTCAACGGTGGTCGAAGTTTACCCTTGACCAGTTCTCGGTGCACGTGTCCGCGCTGGTGCTCAGTCGACATCTTGATCTTTTCTACTCGGACACATAAAACATACACGTCTTTACTTTGTACGTGATCCCAAGTTCAATGCGGCGGTCCTAAATGGTAGGCTTAGAATTATATGATTTTTAATATATAGGATACACGTAAGAAGCGATTTGTATGGCGTTGAATGCGATGGCAGGATGGAGACCTAATGGTAGGATGATAGGTAATAGGTGGGACCGAAGAGCGGCCGCTTATACTTCGGTAAATATGCACGAACGGCGCATTCATCTTTCTCTTAGTCGCTTGGTAGCGTCTAACGGTCTAACGGCTTCTGGTAGCGCTGGTGGCTTGCCTATTCTAGGTAAGAACTAAATGGGACATTTTGGCCTACCTAGGTACCTTTACTCTTTTAGGTCGAGCCGAAGCTGTTTGTAGCTATCTCGATTGTGCGACAATGAGAATCAGTTGATCAATTGAAATATTCTTAGCATTTAGAACATATTACTGAAGAAAAGAGGGAGAAATTTCTTTACTTGGAGTCAATTGGAAAGCTGTAAAGACCTTGCGAAGCGAATATAATACTGAAATGGTGTTTGCTCGACTGCCAGGGATTCTCATTTGAAGAACACAAATTGGGGTAAGAGCACCTGATCACTTAGACCGGGATTACCTTCCTAGACAAGTATTCCGTTGGCCAAGATGGGTAAAGTGTGACCTTGTTACCCCTCATTTTTGCTCGTCGGTGGAAGGCGGCCAAGGGAGGTGCTATGCAAGTTGTATGCAGTTGACGGCTTGAGATGGATGGGGCCCAGGGAGCTTCGCACAATGAACAACTCATTCCTTCATTACAAGACCCATGATTTGCTGTCTAGGTACCTCCTCACTTTAGGTAATGTAGGTACCTGACCCTACGTGCATTCCGATTAGGTACTTATGACCTTTCGAGATTGAGACCAATTGCCTACCAATTGCCTACCAAGTAGTCCAATTAGTCCAATCTCTTTGGTCAATTGAGACTATCAGCGTCTAATGAGATTTCGAGCTTACGGATAGTGGATGATCCTTAAAACTGCTTTGACAAAAGCCAGACTATATTCTTAAATTTTCTTTACCTACCTGCTTCACCTTACCCTTAGTTACTTCCCTTAGTTAACTACTTGTTCTTTCTTTATTAGTATCCAGTTCCTGTATCCACTTTCCAGCGCATTGCCCGCCACTCCCGCGTTAGCGGCAAAAAAAAAACGAACAACTTTTTTTTTTTTCCGTTGTCAAGTCAGGGAGCCGCAAGTCGCCTCTCCCACCCAAATTTCTACTCATATCCTCTTATCGCTATTAGCCCAGACCCCTCCAATTGCTCAATTCCGTGATCGGTCTCGGAACCTCGACGCAAAGCAAAGCTGAGCAAAACTCAGCCTCGGCCGGTGCAGCGGCACGGAGCCATACGGAGCAAAGAAATTACCTCAAATTCACAGCTTGTCACATTCGTCACGTTCAATTGGATTGATATAATTAGTCAATTGAAGAGTGCATGGATGGCCACACGGTTGTCGGCGCCGTTTCGGCGCCGTCGACGAGCCCTACCAGCCCTGTGAGCGTTCATCGCCATGGCTCCATGAAGCGAAAGCGCAGCGAAGGTGGTCTCGGAATAGAAAGCAGTCCCGGTAGCGTTATCGGCGACGAAGATCAGTCTCTCGCCGAGCCCGAAAAGAAGAGGCAACCCGGCGTGAAACGGTATGTCCACGATCCATTCGCGTATTATATCATTATATAATATCTTAGCCTCAACATGTATCAATGCTTATACATATTTGCATATACATATACATATACATATACATATACATACCTATATATGATGGCACGTCGCTAACAGTATCCGGATAGTGCGTGTAATGAATGCAGGCAGCAGAAACTTAGGTGCGATGTCGTCCAAGAACCATTTCAGAGTTGTTCGAGGTGTAATCGTCTAAAACTCGAGTGCAAGATCGAGTCTAATTTCAAACGAATCGGCAAGAGGTCGAAACATGCCGAGATGGAAAAGGAGATCGACCGGTTACGTCGCAAGATAGCCCAAGCCAAAGCCCAAGGCTTTGTAATTGACGATGATGAAGACCTGCAATCTCAATTGCAATCCCCCGTCGCAAATAGTGCGTATTCGCATACCCGAAATCCTTCGCTCATGGGATCCGATGAGGCTGTTACGTCCCTTCTGACTCTCAAGCGAGGAGGGTCGTATAGCTTAGCCGCAACCCATTATGCCTATGAGCTTGAGACAGTGCGGCTGACCGAGCAGGATGTCCACGGCTTGTTCCAGGAATTTTTCAGCTATTACCACCCGTTTCTCCCCTTTTTAAACGAGCATCAATCCCCTGATTTATATTATCAGCAACATGCCTTACTCTTCTGGACCATCATCGCCATTGCCTCGCGGCGTTACCATGCTAAGCCTAGCATCTTGCACGAACTGTCAAGCGGCCCTCTGAATAGACTGCTTTGGGGTACCGTAGGCGACGTACCGAATAGCTATTTCGTCGTTAAGGCCCTTTGCCTATTATGTACCTGGCCTCTGCCGACAAGCACAACGACGGCAGACCCAACTCATATTTTATGTGGTGTGATGATGAAAGCTGCCACAGGAATCGGCCTACATCGACCTAACCATACTCAAGATTTCTCCCGCGTATCAGTAGAGCTTAACAAGGACCAACTTCATGATCGAGTAACGACCTGGGCCGTATGCAATATTGTCGCTCAGTCTATTGGAACCGGCTACGGCCAGCCAGCTACTTCTCTCTACGACTGGACACTAGCAATCCGCCCTGGTGAGGATGGTCCTTTCACGCTTTCCCCCGAACTTGAGGCTAGGTTGAGAATAGAGAGGTTTTGTGATAAAGTCTCAAAAGAAATGTACAGTAACGCAAGCGACCCCAGAGGCGTGGCCGGCGACGAACACAGAGCCATGCTGATGCGGGTGTACCGCCGGGACTTCCAAGAATTACAGACATCAATCCTTTCACAGCGTCTATCGCCGATTGTGGAGATACACTTAACTGCTGCCAATGTCCATCTTCGCCTCGCTGGATTCTTTGATTCCAGCAGTACTCCCGGTTATATGGACGATCTCATGGGCCTATGGCGAGCCATTACAAGCTTTCTGGATCTCCTGTTTCTGGACACAAACCAGCATATATTGCTATATGCCACTAATTACATCCAACAGATGCTTGTTGCTGCCGGGTTCGCTCTATTAAAATTGATGAGGTCGTTCTTTGCTAAAACGATAGACTTCGAAAGGGGAAGAACTCTATTTCATAAAACCATCAATGCTATCCGCAGGACGAGCGTGCTCGACAACGATTTACAATGGCGGTTAGCGGAGCTGATGGTTCAGATGTGGAATGGCGCGCGAATTGACAATAAGAACAACACCTCATTTCACGACGACGACAGTTCTGTTCTTATAGACGATACCTTGCAATTGAAAGTCCGTTGTAGACATAGCATGAGTCTCGTATTTGACTCTATTTGGCGTTGGAGGGAAGAGTACCAAGCTCAGGGTCGTGGGACACTTGATGGTAAGACTACTTCCTAATTTCTTTCCTCTCGATTAGTATACCTCGCTCGCGTGGCTTGGAGGATTTACTAATATCGAGTAGCTCTTAAACATCCAACTAATCCAGACTCAGGTAATGAGTCTTCCGCGTCTTCCACACATATGGATAGCACATTATTGCCGCATAATAATCTGGCGAATCTGACGACGATGGCGACGAGTAATGGTGGCATAACACCAACGGCAAGTCACGGCCTGAGCGCCAGTGCTAACAGTATGATTGGGTTAGGGTATGGAAGTGACGCGAACTATGACTTCTTCGATCCCCAGCATTGGATGCTAGACGGCTTGTTAGATTTTAACTACACCTTCGCTCAGCCCCTAGAAGGAATGTAGGATGACCTTGGGGAGGGTTATGACACACTTGAGCAGAACCGTTAGATGCTAATAACACTAGCGAGCATATGTTCCCGGGATTCAACAGCACCGACCAGGTGCTACAGGTCACTTTATGCATGGATTTAAGAGCATGGGGAATTGGGGGCTTGGTTGAATTATGCGTCCGGGATGTGACTCGCATGAGGGGCAGGCGTGCGAGAAAACTGTTCTTTTCGTCTGCCACCTGATGTGAGTTTTAATTACGTTCAATGCTAGAGTGGTACCTCTAGCAGAAATTGATTACGATCAAGGAGAGATGACTATAGAGGAACGGTATATAATCCCTCTTCATTGTGCACAATATTGCGAAAGGGGGGGGAACTGTATACCAGGAGCGTCGGGGTTTCAGCGTGGATTGCTTTGTGTGATATAGTTCTATATCATGGTCACTGGTCTGGTCTGTGCATTGATCATAGTCAGCATTATTCGGGGCGAAAATTAAAATTGAAAATGTTACAACTTCATCCAGATAGCATTTCCTCGATATGGGTGAATTTGTGAGAGCTTTGTGTGCCGTAACTTGGACCCTTTGGGGGATTCGAGCTCGTGCGTCGTGAACAAGTCGGTGTTGGTTATTGTTAATTTCAGGTGCGCGAAAGAGGATTCTGTGATGCCCCCTAGATTAGTAGTTTGTTAAGATCTACGGCGAGGCTGTAGCTGAAAAATAGAGACATCCAACAACACAGTCCTGAGGCGTTTGGGAAGGATGATATCATCTAATCGAAATTACGGACTAGTAAGGATATTCGCTACCGAGAGATGTCTGCGTTCCTAGCATTCATCGACGAGGAGCCGCGGGTTAGAATCGGGGGTGGACGATGATGCCTGATGTTTAGATGGTTACTGAGTAGGCTGGCTTATCGTCGAGGCAGGAAGATCAGCTATGTACGCCAGAAATAGTAGCACCCAATCATTCAGCTCGGCAACCGACTGACAACTCCAGGACATCATCGTTCCTCGTCCCCCTTCCCGGGGTCAGCGGAACTTACCGCACCTTCGTCGCGGCACGGCGTTTCGGCGCCGGCGTAGCGACGCGACGTGA